CCCCCCCCGACACAAATCCTTCACGCGGGAACAGGCTCCGGAAGAAGACATTTTGGGTTGCCTGAATCGAATCTGGCGTTCAGGCCTTTCCCTTAAGAAAATGTAGCTGCAGCGAAACGACCGTACGGCTCGCAGGGCTTAAAGTAGACACAGCTGTGACTGCGGGAGAGCTCGGCGGACGTAAGGGATGATACAGAAGGAATTGTCACTTTAAAAAAACCTGGGAAACATTTGCTAGCCGTAGCCTCCCCCCCCCCCCCCCCCCGTAACACCCACACACATACACCCCCACACAGGGGGGCCACTCTGTGTCTTGCCCGCCTGTGAGTGACAGTGACAGCTGATCCACAATTTATGTTCATTTTGAACACGTAATTACAGTGTTATCTATGGCCTCATCAAACCTCTTTTTCATATTTATATTACCCTTTAATATTAAGAACAGAACCTGAAAGAAGAAAAGCTCCCCCCCCCCAATTATAGCCTTTTCTGCTAAAATATGAATTTAATATAGGCAATCCAGTCAGCTATTTTAAAGTCAATTACTTGGGTTGGGAGCAGTGAGGAAAAGAAGTCGCTCCTCTCTCGAAAACTCCAGAGCAGATTCCCAATTTTTACCGACTCTTCAGATCAGGCCATTTGAAAATAGCCTCCAACCTCTTGCTATCCAAACAAACAAGCAACCAACCAAATGCTGAAAAAAGCCAGAGGTCCGTTATTTCCCCCTTGCTGGAGTTAATGTGCGGGCCTGCAGGAAAAGTGAAATCGCCTAAAGAATGTTGGACACTAGAAGTTAGAATTCTGAAGATTTTAGAATTCTAGAATCCTGTTATTCTGAGACATGGGGGCGGGGATGGCTAATTTTCCTTCTGTGGGAAGACACAGCAAGGACCCTCAGATGGAAGGAGCGGAAGCAAGTTGGCTAAATGATAAATAAAATCATCCCTTTCCCTCCCTCATCCGAGTACATTGCAAAACATTCCGAGATGAAGACACCGTTTCCGGACAAGTCTATTTCCTTCCTTCACAATGCAGAATCTGCATGCTAGTCTCTTTTTGAAAAAGCTCCTGTAGGTGGCTGTGAGAATTCGGTGGATCTTCAGCAGGCGCGCTACACACCGAGGTAAAATCACAGCCGCACAAACGCAGCCAAATTAATAAGCGTGGAGCTCCCTGTTTAGCTGGGTGGTAAATGACGCTAATGTTTTCCGACAGAATTAGGGTGGCTGCAACCGTATGTAATGAGACAGAAAATTATAGCAAAGATGACAACTGGACACAGGTTTCCAGCCCGTATTTCCCCTGCCAAGAATTAGAAATCCGCATTTTGCTCTTACAGTGCCTATGTCGCTCTCCTGCATCCTCTCGGTCTCTCTTTAAAATAATAATAAAATAACCGAGACATTGAGTCTAGACTTCCTTCGCCAGTCCTCATTTCCCAATCTCAGGGAACAGGATTCAACTGCACAGAAGAAATGGGAGACTAAAACCCAGGACTGAATTACAAAGCTGGGCGTCCGAAACTGCCGAATCGGACCGAATAAGGTGGAGGCCTCCAGGAGAAAATCCCACCGAACTTGAAACTCCAGGGTCGCCCCCCTTGGAGGATCTGGCCGCCTGCAGTCTTAATTAGCTTTCCCCAGAGGTGCTCTCCGATTTAACGTTCACTTGCTCCTACTCTCCTGCCTTTGTTTTGCTAGCAGAGGTGGGGAGATAAATTTGGCCGGTACACTGCCCCCCTCTATTTTTCTCCTATGGCTATTCAGATTCCCTCCACCTACACGTGACAGGAAAGTGGAGGAGCAACCTAGTGCCTGTGTTTGCACAACCCGCTTAACTCAGAGCATTAACTCATTTCCTGGATTCACACCATTCAATGAATTATCAGCTGACCCAAGGCTGAAGTTCGCATGTCAGGCTAAGCCACAAAACCAAACAAAAAACCACGGCTACCAACCAAGCTTTTTCACCTGCTCTGCGAATGCACTTGCTAGGGCTATCCCTGATCTGGTGAAGTGCACTGTATGAACACAGCCAGTGAAATTTTGGCCTGCAAGAAGATAACATCCTTTGTGAACGTGGACGTGGGAGGGGGGAACGGAGATGCAAAATGAGACGACCATGCGTGGCCACCTACTATCTCTATAAAGGCCACGACTGGGTAACTAAGACGGCAAAGGAAATTGCAGGGTTCCCCGAAGTAAGTCCCTTTGAGCTCTGATTGGAGGCCACGCTCCACTCTGTGTTTTACCCAGGAGTAGGCCTCTTTGAACTCCATGGGATTCCCTTTTGCATGGTCAGGCAGAAGATGGCAAGGTTAAGACTATGGCGTACGGGTACGGTGTCGTACCCACACCGACTTGGGAGGCAATTCCACCGGACATAATGAGACTTATTTCTGGGTCAAGGTGGGCAGGACCTGACAGCTTCAAAGCCAAGTGAAGTGTTGCCATTTCCCTACCTGCCCCCCCCCCCAAGCTTTTGTCCCTACCGGCCTCCCCTACCTCCGGTTTTGGTACCAGGTCTTGACCTGGGTGTCAGTCAGATTGAGGGCGGCTGCCAAGTCCATGCGGTCTTGGACGCTCAGGTACTTCTGTCTCTCGAAGCTCCTCTCCAGCTGGTTGAGCTGATGGTCGGAGAAGGCAGTCCGTGCCTTGCGAGGCTTCTTTGCCCTCACAGGAGGGCTATCCCTGCTGCTTGAAATCTCACGATCCCCTTCTTCTTTTGCCCCTGAGAAGACACAAGACACAAGCTTGGGTTTAGGGCCGAGAAGGAAAGCACGGAGACGGGAGGTGGGGGGGGGGAGCTGAACCCAGACACAAAACATTACTAAGCCTGAACAGGACCTTCCCATGGTGGGAGTTTTCTGTCTCGGATGGATCCAGATAGATTGTTTGCGCTTGTGAATCAACTGATCTGGGATTGTTTCATTCTTTGCACAAGACCACAACCACATCAATGAATTGGGAAGCTGGCAATTCAACTGCGAACAAACCAACAGAGGGAAGATATGGGACTAAAATCAAGATTTCTCAGGACTGATAACTCCTCCTGTCATAATATCCCTTTTCTCCGGAGGGGATGTTTTTCCTCCACCGCCTTTCCTCACTTTCTCCCTGGGCCAAATTCAGATTTCCAAGTGCATGTCGGAGACTGTTACTATCAAGCTATCGCAACAGCCTGAATACTTTTCCTGGAGTGCTTGTCATCCAGGTACAAAAAGCGAGCTGGATTTCGCAATCCCAGGTGACAGCAGAAATATTACCGGATTCTGTTTGGTATCTTTGAGTCTTAGAGGGTGTTTAAAAAAAAAAAAAAAAAAAGCTGAAATGTTAGGAAATCGATATGTCAGTCCATCTGTGTTTGTACTAGGTTTTCTCCTCCATCACCCTCTCCCCCTCTTCCCCCCTTCTCTCTCTCTCTCTCTCTCTCTCTCCCTCTCTCTCCTTCTTTTTCTGGGCTCTCCTTGATCTTCCCTGCAGGGAGAACAATAATCTCTCTAATTGACCCACTGGGGAGGTTGGTGCACCAACTAACTAACAACAACCACAAAAAAAAAAAAAATGCTAAACGGGGCTCTACATCTGGTTCTAGACCCTCATATGTTCGTGTTAAAATGGAAAATTGAAAAGCAGACTAAAAGTCGTCCCA